ATTTCCCCTTACCTTTTCTATTTTTCCATCAAAGTTGTCGTCCAACGAGCATTGGAAGGTGTCCAAAACTGCGGTCTTGAGCTTCGGCCTGGTGACAGAGTCACAGACTTGGATTACACTGATGATATCGCTTTGCAGTGGGACGGTTCACATGCTGGTCATGGCGCTTTAAATCACTTGCGAAGAAGGCGTCTAAGCATGGCCTGTATTTCACCTCAGGAATATGTGGAGCAGTACTCCAGAATTGGCAGGTGTACGTGCTTGCTCTCACCATGGTTGGTAATGTGCTGGAACAAGTCCCTTGTTCCACTTATCTAGGGAGTTGCATCAAAGCTGGCGTCATTGTTGGAGATGAGATTTACCAATGGATTGCAAAGGCGCCCCTTTGCGTTCATCAATCTGAATCACCTATGGCGTCGTCGTGATGTCACTCTCAAACTCAAGGGTTAGGGAGACTTGAACTATGCTCTCCTAGCATGTGAAACGATTGTCAGTTTTCGGCATTCGTTGTCTGCGTAGTATTGCTGGTGTGTGGTGGCAACACCGAAGTCAAAGTGCTTGGGGCGAACCGCCCCTGCCTCCTAAGCGTTATTCTCCGACACCGCATGCGTTGTTTCGGTCACGCACTGCGAATTCCGGCCCATCGCCTTCTCCACCGAGCGTTATTTCCACTTCCCAGAAGCAACTGGGAAAATTGCTGCGGTGGACAACCAATGACATGGAGAGAAAGCATGAACAACGCAATTTCAAGCTTAGTGTGGTAGATCAAAAGTGGGTCCTGCTGCATCAAGTGTTGATAGTATAGATGTGCCAGGAAAATCCAAAGATTATGGGCCTACACCGGACCATACCAACGCTCCAACAGAGGTACTGAAAACCGCAGCTGTATGTCCGTAAGGAATAGACACGGAATCAGTGCGCACCATCTAACCTCCAGTGGATGGCGCGTAGATGAGTGGAAGTTTCATTTACCTGAACTGATGCAGATAGTTCACGATTTTTACCACAATAAATACTCCGTTCGCACTTTTTGCTCTTACATTAGTTTCGGTTAGATATGCTTGCCTTCCAGGCTTCTAATCACCCGAAACTGGCTCCCAGGTACCGGAAACCTTGGATGTTCTGACTTGCGACGGATATCGCTATTGAAAATTGGGTAATGCCCGCCCGAGGATACTGCACACCACGATGCGTTTTGGCATCATTTTGTCTCGTCAGATAGAGATAACAGAGATCAAACCTGGATGTTAGTTATGATTGCTACCCCTAAGCCATTGGATCACGTGTCAACGGTTAGCACAACGGTTAAAGGGTTATTTTGAAGTAAAAGGTTGTGTGACTGGATTACGACTCGCAGTCTCAATGTAGACCGCGATTCACATGGAAGTGAATCTGATGAGATCGAAATACCTCGTGGGATGCAGCACTTTCGGGCGGGCAACACCCGATTTCCATCTGTTTCGGTTACGGTCCTAGTGCTCGCAGTGAACAAGGTTCACATCAATGTGGATCGCAGTTCCCATTGAGATTGCGGGTCGCAATCCAATCACACAACGTGTAATTCAAACTTGACCGTCCAGTTAGTCATTCACCGTTGTGACAAACGTTGCCCGCCGTGACCCGGTAGCCAATGGGCTACTATTCCAATGGTCGCGGGTTCGAGGCCTGCTATTTCCACCTGCTGAGATGCCATGACATCGAAACGCGTCGTGGTTGTGCAGTGTTTTCGGGCGGGCGGCATCCAATTTCCATCGGCTTTGACTACGGTCCCAGTGATCGCAGTGGCCAAGGTTCACTTCAATGTGAGCTGCAGTCCACTTTGAGATTGCGCTTCCCAATCCAATCACACAACTTGTAGTCCAAAATTGACCCTCCAATTAGTCATTTACCGTTGTGCCAAGCTTTGCCCGTCATGACCCGGTAGCCAAAGGAGTAGAGGTTTCGGCTACTATCCCAGATTAAATGAGGTCGAAACGCATCATGGTATGCAGTTTTCGATCGGGCAACACCCAATTTCCATCTCTTTGAATACAGTCCCAGTGATCACAAGGTTCACTTCATTGCGAATCGCCGTCTACAATGAGACTGCAAGTCGCAATCTATTCACACAATGTGTGCTTCAAAATGACCCTCCAACTAGACATTAGTTTCTTTGCACCATCTACTAGTTAGTGGCTAATCGTACATAAAACATAAAAGCTCCATTGGCGTGCGTAAAACTCAAAAAGCACCATTTTCTTTCGCTTTTTCTCTCTCCATAATTCTGACGCGACACCACCCGGGACCAGACTCTGAGTTATATATATATATATATATATATATATATATATATATATATATATATATATATATATATATATATATATATATATATGTGGTTGGCGGCATCCGGTTTCGGATTTGTCTGTCACTGTGGCCAGCCACAGGACGCCTGCACCTACAGAGGAATCATGGATGGCTTGCGCTGCACCACCCACAGCTCCAACCACACACCTCATATCCAGTGTAAACCCGAGGGAATAAGACCGGGAGGCATGCGGATGGGAGCCACGTTTCATTAACGGAGCCGGCCCACACTCCTTCACAGGCAAACACAAGCACGCTGTATTTGGGGAATCAAGCGCACACAAGGCGGTGGCTGGACCGTAATCCGCTCCACAGAGTGCATGGAACCACTCTTCGAGGCTAACACGGCCACAAGGACCGTGCACCCTGTCCCCTCCAGCGACGACCAACTGTCTCCTGGAGCCAGTATGAACGATGTAGTGGGTAATAGACAGGTAGGCACCTTGTCAACATGCACATCAAGCGCAGCCGCACCTGGGATGTCAAACAACAGCCAATCATTCGAAATGCCGATATCGAATAAAGTAAACGCATATGATGACATAAATACTCCCTAAATGAGCATATGGAAGAAATTGGTTAAATGTGAATACGCGATAAGTACAAAGTGTCCGAGTTAGTTAAAAAAGATACCACGCGATAAAATTACGCAAGTTTACCACAATTTGCATGAGCGACGTGTGTAAGTTGGGAGAAGATTCTCAAGTAGGCAGAACAAAAATAAAATAAAATGGAATGAATTTTATCCACATTAAAAAGACCTGGTTTAAGTGTAAGTTGGTTTAGCCCAACTGCGGTGAAGAAGCATCATGAATGCGACATCAGCCTCAGCATGGGGCATATATATATATATATATATATATATATATATATATATATATATATATATATATGTACGAATCACACTCATGTGTGTCAGTTTGACACCTTTGATTTTCAGGTTCCTCTAGCCACCCTTTTTTGCTGTAGAAGTGTGTCATTATCTGCCCTGACGATAAATAACCGAAGACGGGCTTGTTTGCATGACCGTCTTTTTGTGACTGACATTACCTTTAGATGTCAGAGCGATGATTCCATTTTTTAATTTGGAATGTATCGGGAAAGGCCGTAGGATGTATTTCTAAGATGGAGGGTTGGATTTTGCGAATGTTTATACAAATCTTGTCCCGGAGGGCCTTCGATTTGCTTGTGACAGGTGCTGAAATTCAAAGGCACTGGATAAACCGGTGACATTTTCCTGGAGAGATGAAGCAAAATCTGAAGCAGATAGCTATTGGTGTTGTTTTTCTGAAAACACTGCACTCCACTACGCGTTTTGCTCTTGTTTGGTCCAGCAGGTTGCGTCGCATTCCAACGAGTACTTCAAAATGACTCCAATTAGTAGCATTTTCTGTTTCTCTAGTTACGTAGCCAAAATGTAGGAGTAGGGCATTCGCAGTATCCACAGCGGTGGTCCTTGGGCCGGCTCCTGACCGAAAGAACCACACATCTGCCTTGTACTCCGGAGGTCGCGGGCTCGAGCAGTCGTAGGGGACCGGGTGATCCTCGCAGTATCCCTAGCCCGCGCTCGGCTGGTGGTGGTTGCAATGCAGCGAAGCGTCGGTACTGCGTACCGACACACTGCTGATGCTTCATCTCGTGATTTAGTTATCTTGAATGGGGGTATTCCTATCTTCACCATTTTGCTCTCGTTTACAAGGCTGTAATGCGGTTTGATATTACTACTATACCTAAATAACATAGCCTCTTGTCGGATCTGCTGAGCAACGGGCAGTAGTTTCTGACTTTTGTACTTCTTCCATGTGATATCACATGGGTTTTACGCGTGTTGCCTAAAAGTCTTGTCTCTTCTGTTGATCCATTTGCGCGTTCTGCTTCGGATCCAGATGTTAGTTTGGTACAATCAAAAGGAAAGTATCAGCAGTACGCTGCAGATCGGCCAGTTCAGTACGACACTCGTCCTGGTAAGATGTTTGAGGCTACTTGGATGACTGTTGAGTTTACCCTTAAGTCATTACATGTGTCGTTGGACAACTTTTGCGGCCGCAGATTCCAACCAACGGTAAAGCTTAGAGTGGCCGACAAAATACCTCGACGTTATCGCCTTTTATCAAAATTCCTGACCAAACGTTAAGATTGAGCCGTGCTTACTGTCTAGTGGAGAGTGCTATGAAATTAACTCAGCCAGGGTACCAGCATTTGGCACGTGGAATACGACAACTCCCGCGCCTGGTTTCAGGTGTGCATGCGCGTCTACACACATCACCTACGGTAGGGTGCATGGCTTCCCGCTAACCCTTGGTTTATCTTTCGTTGCGAGGCAAGCAGAGCACGCCCCCAGACCGTAGCCAAGCAGGACAGGACAATAGGAAGCAGAATTTTTCGGACCATTGTGAGATGACACAATCTATAAAGCATGAGACGCTGAGTTATTGTTATCGTATGGCCAGCGCGAGAACAGCCAATAAGCACACGTTTTGGGTGAGCTGGTCAAATCATTGTCATCCACGCACGCGACAACCTTTGCAAATCACTGTGTTTCGTGTTGTTTTTTAACCACTAATCCTCAATGTTTTCATCCGATTCAGAAGTACAACGAAATTACATTTTACTAAATGACTTTTCCGAAAAATCAACCTCTCCTTCATTTGCAGACAAGGCAACTCCACTACTCATCTGCCATTTGGTCGCAAAGAATTTGGCGAGGTAAGCGGTTATGCTTTTCTCTGTAGATTATCACCTCAGGAACTCTGTGTGTAGTCATAAAATTTAGTTACCTAATGAACTTTGTGCTTTTTCCATTAATCTTTTCATAATTTAAACAGTTTCACAAAACGTATTTGTTCACTATCACCACAAATGTTTCCTTCAACCGATCATATACTTTAATTTCGTTCGTGGAAAATGCTTTCGGTTTTAGACAACTTGCCGTCCACAGAATTAGTCAGCGCAGGCAGGCTCCTAACGCTCTTTTTCAATATCTGATACTTCTGGCTGTGATAAGGACGGTAAATAGCACCTCCATCGCTTTATGTGTCGCACCACTGGGCTGACTTAGGGGTAGGTGTCCATGGAGTTACTCAAACGAGAAGCAGCACGACTTTGGTCTCATGCGATGATCCTTACTGTGTCTTTTTCTTTGTACCTGATTGGGACCTCCGTTTCCCGTGGATAATCAAAGGACACTTTTTTCGCCTACGAGTGAGCGTGCTTGGCTTGTGCCGCACCCCCCATATCTCACCTCCAACACAATTGATTCTTAGGGGCAGAAACTACACTTGCCTCTAAAGAGATGAACGTTCCTTCAACCCACACGGCATGCATTGCTGAGTGCGTTCACATGACACCCCTCCCAGCAGCCACGCCAGCCTCCGAAGGTTATCTGGGCGATGCGACAACGTACATCGCCAGCATTTGGCCCTTGGGGTTTGGTACCTGATTGTCAGTGCGTGGAAAAAATTTGTATTTCATTCCACGGCAGCAGTAACTGGATTTTAGCCGGCTACATAATAGAACCATTCTTTAGACCTGTGCGCCCTATTTCCGCTGTCAGCGGTCGGTAGAATCCGGAGACAGTTACTGGTGAGCCGGCACTCACGCAGCCATTAGGGACTTATCACACTGGGGTTCATTCGAGACGCACAACATTACGCAGTATTTTCAGGTGTTGCTCGATTTCAGCAGTGGGTACAACACACACGCGAGGCCTATAAATGCTCACAAGCTTAAGCCAGGGGTATACAGGACGGGTTGGATTCAGCTCAATGCCCTCCGTCATCACAAGTGAGTGAGAAGACGCTTAGAAACTTCCAATCGAATTTTAAGGTATAATCCGCGATAGTTAACCAAAAAACAGGTACTCCAATAGTAAGGACGTAGCGGACATCGTGACCGATCTGTATGTGATGAGTTTGTGGTTTATCCTGTAGTCTCCATCCTGGAAGCAGGCACGTAGCACCATAATGACTTATCGACCAATTTCTTCTCGGAGTTTTATTACATTGTTACCTAACTTAGGCCCACAAGTCCGATGGTTTCGAATGATGTGAACGTTATACTTTGTGGATCATTTGATTAATTTTTTCCTCACCTTCCAACCATACTCCGTCCGCAAATGTTCTCCAACTGACTTTTTGTTGTGTAGGTTTTCACCGTTGCCCAATATTTGGTGCCATGCCAATTGTATGTTAGTTTTCTTGAACTGACGGTCCTCTTATGTTTTAAGCGAAACCTTACTCAGAAAATATGCCAACCGGTCCCAGAAGACCTGAAAACAAATGCTTCCCACAGCTATTTAGCTCATTAAACACCAGATGTTTCCGAGCCTTTCCACAGCCATGATGTTCTGATTAACTCCAAACACTGGTTGTTTTTATCTACTAGGTACTGCACCACTTCGGAGTATATTTCAAATTATATAATGCCACTGTTAATCTAGGTTTCGAACTTGTTGCTTTAACTCATTCTCCTGGAGGTTGGCGGGACTAGTTAATGAAGCCAAAACGCTATTGTCATCAACTGTTTCGAGAATCACACCATTTCCCACTCTTTTATAATCTAAGTCCTTTGTTATTTTTACACATCGGCAAGAATTATGCAGCGCAGGTAAATTGCTTCTGCGCCAGCGAGCATACTTGGTGGTTTTACGCCTCAATATAATCATCTTCCAAGTGCTCTAAGTGCACCTGGATTTACATAGACAGTATATGAACAAGACCTCCGAGACTAAGCTGTTGCGAGCACAGACTCGAAGTAAAAACAGTCGCCTATATTTTAATTGCTACCCAAACATAGTAATGTTTGGGTCTTCAGTGCAACCTGCAGACTGCAGCACCGCCTACATTTCTGTCATTTAATCACCAGGCAGATGATAAGCAATTTATAATTGTTTCAGACTAACGAGAAAGAGGATAAGTTTTCGGCTTTGCTCACTTGCAACACTGCCCTCCACCACCGGTTTCTTTCTTATTTAGCGTTCTCACCTAGTGGTAACCCGAGCTGCGGGTGAGGGTAGGGCGTCGAATATAGTGGTTGTGATAGCTACCGACTGATCACTAGGCCATTGAGACCTGCTAGCATGACCCTACACAACGGTCAGAAGTTTCTCCTTGGGTTCTCGGATTACCAACCATATGTTGCGATTGCGACACACAAGCTCGATCGCATAATGATGATTAATCTCAGTTTGGACCACGGTTTATTTCGAAGTGATCCTGGGCAATAGTGATCATTGGGACCGTATCCGAAGTGCAGAGTCTCGGGATTACTCTCTCTCTCTCTCTCTCTCTCTCAGCACGACCGGTTTCGCCCTTATTTGGACCCAACCGTAGCTTCAGCTACGGTCCTAGTGGTCAAATTAACTAAGGTTCACTTCAGTGCGAATCACAGTCCACGTTGAGATCGTGCGTTGCAATCTAATCACACAACGTGTACTTCAAAATGATCCTCCAATCAGTCGCTCCATAACCACTTCCCCCTTTGTAGAATCGTTACCTATGCGCATTCCAAGTGTTGCTTGTGTTTCTATTCTGTACTCTGCACAGCAGTAACATGCAAGCAAGTGGGCTGCGCTGTGCCACCTCTAGTAACTAGGTCATCGCAGTGGTTACCGTCTCCCATAGCATAGTGACCTTCCTCACGAACTGCTAACATTCGGGTTGCAGGTTCTAAACCCATAGGATACAAATTGTATGCGCACTGTTGACGATCCCGGAAAGAATGAAACGTCCGTGCAACGCTTCTCCGGATACCTGTTGACCATTTAATTGACTGCAGTTCTGGTGAACTCAACCTAAAGCAAACGGGACAATATTATGGCAACCGAAGTAGAACCCCATTAGAATGCTAATCTATGAGGTAGGAAAAAGTAAGATTAGCAAACACGTGGCCACTGGTGATCAATTCTTTTTGATGATCTTCAGATCAGTAGTCATATTTAAGAGCAAAAGAAATAAATCGACCCATTGACTTAAATTACTGCGCTTCAGTGTGGAAGGCTTGACCGTTGGGAGGTTGACCTTTGACCTAACAGGTCGATTGGATAGTTCCTGGTTTGATCTCTAGTAGTCGATCTCAGCATCGTTCGTTCTTGCAGTCCAGGAAAGCTGTAGGGCATAGATTAACTTCGTTTGCGAGCAAAAAGAAGGTTGACACAACCGGGGGCTAATCGATTCAGCTGTTGCGAGTGCACGGAGGCGCAGACCTCTGGATTAATGCTGGGGCCCTGTGCATTATTCTGAAGGTACGCTTTAGATCAACTTGGTGTCCATTGTCGACAATATGTGCCAAAACGGTGCTGTTAATGACCCCAGTTCCTCCTTTACGCAACCAGCGTGGACAGTATTTCTTAACGCGTTTGTACAAGTGCCGTGCTGTTCGACCGATATAAGTGGCACCACAGGCGCACTTGAACTGATAAATAACCATTGACGAAGTCGGCATTGGCAGCATATCCTCATTGCGTGAACAAAGAAGTAGTTCAGTAGAAAATGTGCACTTTAGCTTGACTGCTGGGAATATCGACTTAACTGCCGCTAAAAGACTTCTGCTTAGGCGCTCAGCAGCGGCATCCTCTTTGGAAGGTAATCTTATACATAACTACTTCGCTGCGGTTAAAACTCATACTGGCTTGGATTTTTCTTTACAATTCTATGCAATAAATTTATCAGGGTAGCTATTCTCGCGCACCGTATCCTTTATAAAGGTTAGTTCTTCATCTAGGATGTCCTGTGAGCAAATTCTACGTGCTCTTGTGCTAAGGCGGTGGATTAAGTTTCGCTTGTGTCTCAAGGAGTCAAAGCCGTGAAAATTCGTGTACTGACAAATCCACCTACCGTTTCTGTAGACTTGCTGCTGCGTGGAGCCGTTTGGCCTCCTACTTAACAAAACATCTAGATACGGAAGCCGATTGCAAGTATCTACCTCGTAGATAAATTGCACTGCTGCGTGAGCTCAGTTTAAGCGCTTGACAACTTCATCCCAATTGATGCATTTATCCACCGCAAATATATCATATATATAACGGTGGTAGCAGTCAGAAGTGTTTATCATCGCTTGCAATTTGGTTCGCTCTAATTTAGCCATGAAAATATCTGCGAACAATGGACCGTGGAGGATTCCATGACCGCCGTCCTTTTTCCGGTAAGATTTACTATTAAATAGGAATAGCACATTCCATGTGCACAGTAGCAATAAGCTTTTCAGCTCAAGTATAGGTATGCGAAATTTCTCTTCCTACTTCGTTATGTGCTCGCAAATGTAATCGATGGTTTCGATCAGCGGTACGTTAGTTAAACGCGAGACAACGTCAATAGAGAGCATCACTTTCTCATTGATTTTGGCCCCCCCTGATGCTCTCGACTAACTGAAAATTGTCACGTAAGCTGTAAGTCACAAGTTATTGTCACACCTTCTCAAGAATTTCTACAAGCCATTGGGAAATCACTTGGTAGGGAGAAGTAATCATTGATAGAACAGGAAGAAGCGTTATGTTGGCTTTATGGATCTTTGACAAACCGTAACGACTCGGAACGTTGCTCGAGATGGGATATTGGCAGTCCGATGCAAGTAACTGAATACGACAATGCCACTTTCTCTAATGCGGCACGTCGATTGGGTCTCTAACTATTGATATGACTCATCCCTAGGCCCGTAATCACAAGTGCGTCACGTCCGGACAATTTATTCATGCCTCTATGCCACGTCAT